CACCGTCACCGCCTTCTGGCGCAGCCTCCTGGGTATGGCCAGGCCCCTGCAGTGTCCGGGGCCCCGGGCCCCCCAGGCCCTGGGCTCAGGGCTCTGCAGAGCTTGGGTCTTGGGCTCTGGTTCTGCAGTCCTGCTTTTGTGTCTGTTGGCTGATCTTTCTTTCGGAGTCTCCCTAGAGCAGTGATGGCGAACCTTTTGAGCTCCGAGTGGCAGCATTTTGAAAAACCCTAACTTAACTCTGGTGCCGTGTCACATATAGAAATTTTTTGATATTTGCAACCATAGTAAAACAAAGACTTATATTTTTGATATTTATTTTATATATTTAAATGCCATTTAACAAAGAAAAATCAACCAAAAAAATGAGTTCACGTGTCACCTCTGACACACGTGTCATAGGTTCACCATCACTGGCTTATAGGGTAGAGGGCCTGCAGAGTTAGACCTCTAGGATGGTCACACTGCCTGTGACAGCCATGGGACTCATACCTTCTGCCTTCTCTTCCCAGTGCAGGGAAAGCTGTAAGCTCTAGTGAGCATTAGGGCTCATCACTCTGAAGCCCTACCAGTGGGGATAAGATGGCCGGTAACTCCAACCTTAGCCCTGGATTGAGAATGTGTGGACACAATATGTGTAAGGAAGAGACAGATGGTCCTGACCTTCGCTGCTGGAGGCCCATTTAGTCCTGATAAGAAGCCGTTTTCCATGATATCTCTTTGGGGACTCTTTAGACTTTCTAGAATGTACTGACATTTGTACTTCTCTCAAACGTGAATTTTATTCATATATTCACAAATAACTATCAAAACTGGAATAGGCCCCCCACCCCCCGCCCTCGGCCTGGCCCCTGGCCCCTCTGTGCCTTCCTCCGGGCGTGTCTCTCCCTTCTCGGTCTCAGCCTGTCATTCCCTGTGCCTCCCCGCAGGCTGCAGCCAGCTCCCTTCCAGGCCCGGGATCCACATCTGCTGAGCAGTCTCGCCTCATTACCTCCCCCCACCGCCCCCGTGCACCCGCTGCCCTGGCCTCAGTTTCCCTGGACTCCCCCCTGTCTCAGTAAAGATGCAAAATCTGGCTACCCTTCTGTGACGTCACGCTGCGCCCGCACACTGGGCATCACGCCACCTCAGGGGGCGGGCTCGGCTGGGAGCCGGGAAGCCATCGCGAGAACCTAGCCACTACATTTCCCAGAATCCTCTGTGCAGCGAGAACCTATCCACTACATTTCCCAGAATCCTCTGAGCAGCAGGGAGATGGGGGGTGAGCGAAGGCGAGGGCCTCTGCAGAGCGCACTGCGGTGGCTCACCGCGGAGAGTGACGGAAGTTGCCCTCCCGCGATCCTCCGGAGGCATAGGGGACTTCCGGGCCACGCCGACCAGACGTTCCTCGCGGAGGCCGCCGGGAGTCGTAGTCCGGAACGCGGGGGGCGCCGGGAGCTGTAGTCTGTGCCGCCTACCCAGTCAGCGCCGGGCTTCCTGCCCCGCATTCGGAGCCCAGAGTCGCTGCTCAGGGGGATGCGGGAGCCCCTGGTTCCGGGGAGCAGAGAGCAGGCGGGGTGAGGGGCGTTGCTTGGCAACGGGCAAGCGCCGCGGTTGGGGTATGGGTTGGGGAAGGGGCTCTGTTGCCAGGTGACAGGAAGAGAAAACCCTGTTGTTTAGTGGTGGGAGGGGAGTCGTCTGTTGCTAGGCGACCAAAAGAGACCCTTGTTACCTAGAGACAGGAGGAGGATTCCTCTGTTGCTAAGGAACTAGAGGAGAGACTGGTTATCAGTGGGGTGGGGGGTTCTCTGTTGCTAGGTAACCAGAGAGGGAGCCTGTTACCTACAGAGAGGAGGGGGGTTCCTCTGTTGCTGGGTGAGCAGAAAAGGGGGCCTTTGGCCGAGGGACGGGGGATGGAGGTACCCTGTTGCCAGGAGAGGGACCGGGGAGCAGGGTCAGGGCCCCCGCGTTCCCTCAGACTGCGCCCAGCCCCCGCCTCCGGGGTGAATGGTGCCGCCTCCGGAGCCTGCTGACAGTTTGGGCCTCCAGCTCCAGGTCCCGGTCTCCTGAGCGCCTTCTCCTGCGCCCCGCACGCAGGAGCGGAGGGCGGCATGTCCCAGGGCCCAGGAGCGCCGCCACGACCACCCTCTGTGTACCACGAGCGGCAGCGCCTGGAGCTGTGTGCCATCCACGCCCTCAACAACGTCCTGCAGCAGCGGCTCTTTAGCCAGGAGGCTGCCGATGAGATCTGCAAGAGGTGACCTCACCCGCCCGCCCCGCCCGGGAGCCACCCGCCGGGGTCTTAGCGAGGCAGGGGCCGAGCCCAGGGTTTCCTTCCACATCACCCGCCTGCGCTGGCCCCTGGGACCCGGAGATGGACGTGTGGCCTCCCGCGCCCGTCCATCCGCAGGGCCTCAACCCACTCAGGCCTCGCCCTCCCTCATCTGGGCCTTGGTCCCCTCCTCACCCTGTCTGGTCTGGGCCCTGGGCCCCACTTCCCCTCTGGCCCCCAGCTGCTGGTTTTTCCCCTCCCCTCCATCTACACACACTGCCCCTGCCCCTCCCCTGGCTCCCAGCACCCCTGGGAGGAGTCCCAAGGCCCCCGGCCTGATGTCCAAGGCCCTGCGTGCTCTGCTCCCCAACTGCTCTGCAGCTTCAGATCTCACTGCTCCCCCCAAACCGCATTCCTCCCCAGGGATGGAGGAGCCCCGCTGTGAGGCCTCTGGGCCTTGGCGGGGCCTGTTCTGCTGGCACCGGGTCCTCTTGGCAGCCTGGAATGTTCCTCCTCACTATTCACGATTTCAAACACTTCTTTATTATCTCTCAGCCTCACCCCTGCCCCCCCCACACACACACACACACATCCCTGGCCCCAGCTCAGGCCCCATCTCCCCCAGGCCCTCCCCTTGGCCTCCAGTCTACCCATTCAACCCGGGGCCCCATATGATCCTCCGCTGGAGGCGACCCTGTGTCGTTGCTCGCAGCCCCCGGGGCACCCCGCACCCTCAGGGTGAGTCGCAGCCCCTGAGGCTGATGGTGAGAGAACGGACTCATCTGTCATTCAGAACAGGGAGCGGTCAGTGCTCTCACGCCAAGGCCTTGCCGGAGACCCAGAGTCCAATGGGAGCCCCGCCCCAAGGGGTCAGGGGAACACACACAGAAAATGACACACAAATTTGCCCCTGTCCGACCTGCCCTGCCCTGCCCTGCCCAAGGGCCAGAGAGAGAACAAAGGTGCTGTTGTTCAGGGGTGGAGGGCCTCCCGCGGGGACAGCTGGAGGAGAGGCTGGGGGCAGGGGCTCCAGAGCTGTGGCTGGGAA